ACTGGTAACTAATTTTAATTCATTTGATGACATGTTTTCCTAGATGCTTTTAATGCTTATAGATGTCTGTCAATAGGTGAGCATTGAAGAGTTAGGTATTTATTCCAGCCTTTGCAGCATGGGCTTGTTTGTACCCATCTATCCCGAGAAAGCTTTCCAAGTATTCAAAGGGAATTGAGTGCTGTGATCTAAATCTTTGGTCACTGTAGCCATATGTACATCAGAGGGCATACCAATGCCAGGAATGCTGTGACTCTTGCAAACTTTGCTGCTTAACCCTTGCTATGTGTCTCTTGTCTGGGCTGAACTCTTTCTTCTAAGTTAAATAACAAATGAGGATTGCTGCACTTCCTGATAACAGAAATAAACCCAACTATACAAGGTAAACTAATTTTAAACAAAGGGACTAAGAAGATGCAATGGGGAAGTGTTAGTTTCTTCAATAAATGATGTTGGGAATACTGAATATCTACATGCAAAAGAATGAAATTGGACCCTTATCCTATACCACATACTCAAAGTGGATTAAAGATCTAAGCATATGACCCCAAACTGTAAAACTCCTAGAAAACATGGGGAAAACTCCTTGATATTACCCCTGGCAAGAAATTTTTTAAGTTTTGGATATTTTCCCCAAAGACAAGTAATACAAGGAAAAATAAACCACACAACTCTAAAATGCTTCTGTACAGCAAGGAAGATTATCGACAAAATGAAAATGCAGTTAATTGATTGGAAGAAAATATTTGTGAGCCATATATAGATAAGGGGTTAGTATCCCAAGTAAGTAGGAACATAAATAACTAACTCAATAGCCAAAACCAAATAATCCAATTTAAAAAATGGACGAATGACCACAATAGATATTTCTCTGAAGAAGACACACAAATAGCCAAGAGAGATCTATACAAGTGCTCAACATCAATAATATCAAAACCACAATGGGAAGTGCAAATCAAAACAATAAGATATCACCTTACACTTCTTAGAATGACTGCTATTAAAAAGACAAGAAACAGCAAGTGTAGCACATGTGTGAAGAAAAGGGAACAATCGTATACTGTTGGTGGGAAGTAGATTACTGTAGCCATTATTGACATTATGAATATTCCTAAAGAAATGAAGAACAGAACTATCATGTAACCCAGCAATCCTCATTCTGGGTATATACTCAAAGGAAATGAAATTACCAACTCTTAAAGATATCTGCACTCTCAGGCTTATGTTTATTGCATCATTATTTACAATTGCCAAGATATAAGTACAACCTAAGTATCCTTTAATGGATAAATGAATAAATAAATTGTGCTGTATATATAAACAATGAATATGATTCAGCCTTAAAAATGAAACAGATATTGCTATTTGTGATAACATAGATGAACCTAGGGAATATTATGCTAAGTGAAATAAGCCAGGCAGACAAAGAAAAATACGGCATGATCTCACTTATATGTGGAATCTGAAAAACAAACAAGCAAACAAACAAACAAAAGCAATCTCAAATACACAGCAACAGCTGAATGGTGGCTGTTAGTGGTTGGGGTAGAAGGGGAGAGGGGGATATAATAGGGAGATGGTCTATGTACCACATGAGGATTATAGTTAATAATATTGTATTACATACTCACAATTTGCTAAAATAATAGGTTTTAGGCACTTTTACCACAAAAAAATGTAACTATGTGGAATAATATATACATTAATTTACTTGACTGCAGTAATTATTTAACTCCATATATCAAAACATTATATTATACACCTTAAGTATGTACAACTTAAAAATATATAATATGTTTCCAAATTCCAGGAAGCTTTTTAAAATGTAGATTCTGAGTCAGTAGATCTGGAGTGAGGCCTGTGATTCTGCATGTCCAATCTGTATCTAACTAGCTCTAGAACTTGGCTCTACATTAGAATCACATTAGAACTTAAAAAAAAAAATCGCAATTCAGAGGCCCCACCCTGGGGATTCTTACTTAATTGGTATGGGCTTGGCCTAGGATTTGGGGATTTTCAAAGGATCCCCAGTTTATTCTAACCTTTAACATTCTTGAGATCCACTGATTCCAGACAAAGCTCATCCTCAACAACATGTAAAGGGATATCCATGTGATCTCATACATTAGATAACATCCAATGTGGCTACCTGATAGGGGTCATCTTATTAGTATTTTGAAAATGCATGTGTCTTAGAGACACAGAACGGTGGTATACACGGTTTGTTCTGTAATCAGAGAGGATCTTACATCAGTTGGTTAACATGGCAGCAGGTTGGTCCAATCTTAAATTTTTGCACTTTGACACATCTGGGAAAAGTATTTCATAACAAATAATTCAAAAATAAATGCACCTATTTGAAGTAGTGGACCATTTTGGTAGAAAACTAATGCAGTAACAGTAGTTTTTGTATTCAGAGGAAAATGCATAATTACACAGATAATACGATGAGAAAAAAGAAAACTTCGGTGCTCTTCTGAAAGCTGCAGCATCTGTAGTGAGTTTCTGTGCCTTGCTTGCCCATACCTATTAATATAAAGAGGAGCTATAGACCCTAGGGCATTTGGTTGCTCCTTCTAAAGATCAGTGTTTCTAAATCAAAACATAGTAATAATTTCCTTTTTGTCAGCAATTGCACTGATATTTTTCCACTGATTTATATATTTTTTTAATCTTAAAAAATTCCATGATGTGAATTGCAATACTTTTCTCTGCTTAACTTAGAATAGTAGTGTGTCGCAAGTCCTACACTAGTTTTTTTTTTTTTTTCACATTTTTCTTTCTTAATCGTCTCAGCAAACTTGTTAGGTAGCTATTGTTATTATCACGTTCTCATCACTGTCATCACAAATGAGAACACTGAGACAATAGTTCATTAGCTTCCCAAAGATACACAGGTGGCCAGTGGCAGAGCTCAGGTATATCTGATTTTCAAGTTTATGCTCTCCTTTTTTAAAATTTAAAAATTTTTATTTTTATTTTAAGTTCTAGGGTACATGTGCAGGATGTGTGGGTTTGTTATGTAGGTAAACATGTGCCATGGTGATTTGCTGCACCTATCCACCCATCACCCAGGTATTAAGCCCAGCATGCATTAGCTGTTTTTCCTAATGCTCTCACTCTCCCCACCGCACCCTCTGACAGGCCCCAGTGTGTGTTGTTCCCCTCCCTGTATCCACATCCTCTCATTGTTCAGTTCCCACTTATAAGTGAGAAGATGTGGTGTTTGGTTTTCTGTTCTTGTGTTAGTTTGCTGAGGATAATGTCTTTCAGCTCCATTCATGTCCCTGCAAAGAACATGATCTCATTCATTTTCATGGCTGCATAGTATTCCATCGTGCATACGTACCACATTTTCTTTAACCAGCCTATCATTCATGGGCATTTGGGTAGATTTCATGTCTTTGCTATTGTCAATAGTGCTGCTATGCTCTCTTTATCTTAGTAGGAAATTGGCAGCATATACCAAATCCAGTCTGCAGAAATAATGGTCCACGTGGTCTTTAAAAGCATTTATAGTTAGGTGTCACGATTTATAAATCAGAAAATTTCCTATAAAAATCCAGAATTTAAGTTTCTACATAAAATAATTATGTGTGACCACACTGAAGTCACATGCCTGCAAGACAACAATTGCCTAAGCTGTGTAACATTTCTCTATTTAGATCCTATTCTTAATCTTTCCCTAGTATTTCTTTTACTCTTGACCTGCTTCAGCATTTATGATACCAGCTTAATCCCACCAGGGCTCTAGGTTTTCAACTTAACCTCTACACTCTATTGAGGAAAGAAATGACTCTTGCATCTTTATTAAATTTTATCATCCAAAAAATCCTCTCTCCATGAGGTGGAGAATTTTGTATTGGCATCTTTATGACATTGGACCTTTGGAGTCCAATTTGCATCTTGGCAGAGTGGTCTGACTTCTCTGCATACAAAGTGGTGGAACTAGTGTCCTACTGGCTTGCTTTAGTATTTAGCTGTCCAGAATTGTTTCCAAAGGTTTGACTCCACACGAGTTTTGCAAATCGTGTGGTTGTGCTCTAAAAAATTATAGCTTTGTGAAGACTCATGTATCCCGTGGTCTCATGGTATAGTTATGTTTTTGTTCAGTTTCCTTCAACTAAGACTGTGATAAGGAAGAAGAGAAGCTTTCTTATTGATTTCAGGACCTACCTGGTATGGCACTTCAGCACACATTAGCAGTGCTAGGCAGGGTTTCCTGGGAAAGCAGTCACCGATGTCTGAAATGTAGAAAAAGATTCTCACACAGGACAGTCTTCATCTTGTTTTTGAGTGCTGCTTACCTCCACTCCTGTGTCTGATTCTTTGTTTCCTTTTTGTACCTGGCTTTGACCCACCATTCACTTTGGTGTTGGTTTCTGTGGACTCCCATTCTGGAACATTTACTTTTTTTATGTCTTGTGGCAGAGCTTTCTCACTACATGTGGGAGCCCTGTCACTCAACAGAGCCCTTGAACATATGTTATGCTACTTAAACCTTAGAAAAATCCCATGATATAGGTCTTGTTATTCCCAGGAAATTGTTGCTCCAAAGATGATACAATTTGATAAATTGATAAGTGGAAGAATTTTAACTAGCTAAATGCTAATGTTGACTATTCTGTGGCATAAACTTTACGTTTATGAAACAGATATAGTGATTGAGTAATGTCTACGAAACATAAGAAAAATATTTCAGTCATTTACTGTTTTACCACATGGCATCCCATGTGAGACGTGATCAATTTTAACATTAGCCATTACTTGATATGCTACTGAGAAAAGGAAAAAATTAAATTATGTCATATAAATTATATTGATTATTATCTGTATCCCAATTACAGATGTTGTAACTTAAAAGGATAAGTCTTTGAATTGATAAATGAGTTCACTCAACTTTTATTGCATGCCTTTAATGCAATTGTTAATTGTCTTAAAATCATAAGACACAAGAAAGTAAAAGTAAACATTCTTACAACTCAATGTTTTCCCTTCAGCAACCATCAACTGACCTAGAATTTGACCGTGTAGTGATTTATACCACCTGCCTTCGTGTGGTTCGGACAACCTTTGAAAGATGTGAACTGGTTAGAAAGATTTTCCAAAACCATCGTGTAAAATTTGAAGAGAAAAACATAGCCCTGAATGGTGAATATGGAAAAGAGTTAGATGAACGATGCCGACGAGTTTCCGAAGCACCTTCCCTCCCTGTTGTGTTCATTGATGGCCATTACCTTGGGGTAAGTACGCTGCCCAGGAAAGTCTTTTTCATAGAACCCAACCAGGGCTGATAGAAATCTATAACGATCTATAAATTTGCAGCATAACTACTGGAACACTTGCTGACTTTTTTGGAGCTCAAACCAAAGGGATTGGAGCACTTATTTCTGTCCCAGACAATGAGCTGCCACAGTGCTCCTCCCTGAAGAAGTACAGTGAGATAAAATCAGCAAGAAACTGCATTTTTGAATATAAATAAATGTTTAAAAATATTCAGTTGACTTCAGTTTTGCATTGTGAAGCTTAGCATGCGAGATAAAGACTGCATTTTTAGTATAGGCAAGAAAAATGGATATATATATATGATATATATTTATAAATTCTCATATATGGCATTATCAATCAGTTTCCTACCTAATGAACCTCAGATGATAGTCCTGAAATGAAATCAATAAGAAATGGGGCCTGGAGCCAGGATTTGATTCACTTGTTTAAAATTATTTTTGACTTGGGTAATGCAGCAGTTGGAGACATAAATTCAGGCTTACGGAAAGCAGAGAGAACTCCCAGAGCAGCAGCAGAACATGCCTGTTTCATTTCTCTTTGAATAATACTGCTAGTGTAGTGAACTCCCATTGATCTGTGAACATCCTGTGGAAGAAGCCTGCAGAGAGGGCTCCAGAGAGTACACTTTGGAAAGGGTGAGAGCAAAGAGCCAAGGGGCACTGGTAACCAGTTTAGGGGCTGACTACATGATCACTTATCACAGAACAGAGACCGTCAAACCACAGATGGATCCTTGGATCTTGGTTTCATTTAGCATCTGGTCTTAACCTTCATTTTTCAGAGAAGGTTATAAAAATCTAGAATAGGAGATGCTCACATTTTGTTTCAGGGAATCAATCTGTGTTTTAATATCCTGCCATTTTATAAAAAAGATAAATGCAGAGAAGCTGTGATCCAATAGCGATGACATTATGTGATTGTACTTTTAACCAGAGCTGGACACACACTACATTCTGTAGTAGAGGAATGCTAATTTGAAGTATTGATCCTTTTTTTGATGTATTTCAACACATACCCTTAGGTTGCAGAAAATTACAGCAGCAGTAATAATCATGTTAAAAATAATACATAATAATATAATAATAACACTCTAGTGCACTCACAGCTTTGCATCTATCATTTCATATAATCCTCAGGGTAGTCTTAGAAATCAACTTTCATATGGCATACTGGTTAACAGCAAGCACTGGGGTCAGACAGACCTGTTTTAAATCCCTGCCCTGACACTTACCTATGACTCTGTGCTTTGACTTTCTCATTTGTAAAATGAGAATGAGAATACAACTTACCTCATAGGCTGATTTGTGAGAGTATTGAGCTAATACATATTAAGCACTTGGTTCCTGTACCTGGAACAAAGTATGTTTTTAAGAAATATGAACAGTTATCCCTGTTTTGCAAAAGAAAACAGTAATTTCTTTGCTCCAAGTGACAGAGCTGGCTAAGTGGCAAGGCCAGCACTCAAAGTTATGTCTGTCTGACTCCCCAAACCCTTGCTCTTTGGCACATTACCTCAAGGAACGGGATCTTTGCCTGTTTGTTGGTATAGTTTTGGGACCTCAAACAGGGCTTAATGCAAAGTAAGTGTTCAAGTGAACATATGTTGAATGGATGGATGAATTATGCTATATTTCCTCATCATGTTCTTTCCTTCTCTCTCTAAGACATTCTTTAATAAAGAAGGGATCTGATAAACTCAACCACACTAGGGAGAAAACATAACTTGTAAGGGCTATGAATATTTGCCTTTTTTAACTTGGGAAAATGTCTGACAATGTAAGACATTTCCGATTGTGAAATTTCAACTTCTGTGCAACTGCACGGTTAAAATTAGTGGGCAATTGCCTTCAATGCACAGGTATAAAGTTGGCTGTTCTTATTCAGAAGCCAAACTGCTTATCTTCTCACTACTTCTGAGATAATCTGAGAGGCTGTAATGCCCGTCCTGCTATTTGCCCTTTAGTTTGAGGAATCTCACAGGAAAGATGAAACAGACAAATAAGATAGGGGGCATGCTTCTTTCCCAGTTGCTTTTTTCTGTGATCACTTTATTTACACACATGGTAGCCTAGGGGAAGAAGTATCACACAGGTGCTACCTTGCTGTTTCTGTAATTTAAGCTAAAGCTCCAAACCTAGAGTCCAGAAACAGGTTTCCCCCTCTTTTTTCGCTTATGAAAGGAAAATTACTTCTAAATCTTTAATTCAAAATGGCAAACACTCCAAAACAACACATTCCCCTCCTATTAAAATAGCCTGCTTATTTAAATTGCAATGCACTTATATGGAATATATTGCTTGAATTATAGGGCCCTTTTCCTGCACTATGCATGCATCTGAAATGGAAGGATGCCCTCTGCTGGGTTTTGACACCTGGTGAAATGTAATTTTAAGGGAGGAAAAGAAGCTGATGTTGGTAATTTCCTTAACATCTGTGGTGTTTTAAACAGACACATGAAACCATTTGATTTAGTTTAAATTTAGATGGGTGAGAAAAATCAAGATTTGTGAATCATCTGCACAATACAATTTCTTTATAGGAAGGAGAGAGAAAAATAGAAAAACAGACAGAAACAGCCAGAGAATGAGGTAGACAGAGACAGAAAGTGAGGCATCTGGAGGCAGACTGGGGGACATGGGACGGAGAACAAGAGAACATTTTGTAGCTCCCTTTGCATTACTGTCAGTGTTACCCAACCCAGGGTGGGTGGTGCCAGAGGAATTTAGTTATCTTCATTGAAGTGAAAATAACAGAGTTTAATGGACAACAAGAATTACAAGGACACTAAGCTCTTTTTTTCCTGATGACTCTCTGCCCCAACCAAACTGAAAAATGAAGATGGAAGCAATAAAACAGTCAAGGAAAAAAAGTACTTTAGAGGATAAATCTACACTGCCCTTGGATACTCCATGGTAGGGGGCAGGGGAGCAAATTCAGTTTGGAACTTGCTTAAGGCAACTGTTTCATTATTTTGCATTAGAAAATTTTTTTACACAAAAAAGATTGTGTTCAAATAGTTACAACATAAATTACCTTAGAAATGCCAGTAGCGTATAAATTAGAAATAGTGGCCCATATGGACCAATCATAAGCCTCCATGGTAGAAATCCACAAAACCCACATTGGAATGGAGCAATAAAACATAGAATGAACCTAAGTGGGGTCTCTGGTGACAGAGAGAGGAATAGAAGGGCCATTGATAAAGACAGATTTCTTAAACTACCTGATATTGAGGTGGGACTGATTGATAATTCTATATATGTTTAAAGTACTGTATTATTCTATTTAAGAATAAAGACCACTAGTATTGAGCATAGCTAGGTTACAAAGTAGAAACACAAACTCTAGGTACATTTCTAAGGAATACTCACAAAATTTCTCAGCAGACATTGGTGCCCAACGAAGCGTCTGTCATAATCAAGAAGCAGTTGGCTCCAGAAATTCACTGCGTTTGTTGTGATTCACCTGTTGCTCTGCATCCTCGCCAGTATTTAATGTTGTCAGTCTTCTGGATATTAGCCATTCTAGTAGATGTGTAGAGATATCTCACTGTTGCTTTAATTTGCCTTTCCCTAATGACATATGATGTGGAACATCTTTTTAATATGCTTATTGGTCATTTGCATATCTTATTTTGTTAGATGGCTATTAACATCTTTGGCTCATTTTAAAGTCAAGTTGTTTGTTTTCTTGTTGTTGAGTTTTAAGAGTTCTCTGTATAGTTTAGATAACAGCTCCTTATTAGATATGTCTTTTGCATGTGTTTTCTTAAGTCTGTGGCTTGTCTTTCCATTCTCTTGACAATGTCTCTTAAGAGCAAAAAATCTTTAGTATCAATGAAGTTCACTTTATCGCCTTATGCATAATTTCTTTCATGCATCCTACTTTTGATGTTGTATCTAAAAAATCATCACCAAACCCTAGATCATCTAGATTTGCTCCTAAGTTATCTTCTAGGAGTGTTATAGTTAACATGTGACATTTAAGCCTTTAATCTATATTGAGTTCATTTTTGTGAAGGAAAAATATTTGTGTCTCGATTAATTTTATTTTGCATATGGATGGTCAGTTGTTCTAGGCCCATTTGTTGAAAAGACTATCTTTTCTTTATTGAAATGCCTTTGCTGCTTTGTCAAAGATGAGTTGACTGTGTTTATATGGATCTATTTCTGGGTTCTCTATACTGTTCTATTGGCCATTTATCTATTCTTTTACTAATGTAATTCAATTTTTTAGAAATATTTCTTTTATATCTCAATATGCTCAATATTTCTTCTTTTTGAGCATATAAGATACAGGTAAAATAGCTGTTTTAACCTACTTATTCAACAATTGTATCTGTGTCAGTTCTAGTTGATTTCAATTGATTGATATTTCTCTTCATTTTTAGTCATATTTTTCTACTTTTATGCCTACTTGGTAATTTTTGTTTAGATGTTACATATGGTGAATTTTACCTTGTTAGGTAAAACTATTCATTATTGGGATAATTTTTTATACCTATACATATTCTTCAACTTTTTGCTGAGATACAGTTAAGTTTCTTAGAAAGAGTTTGATCCTTTGGGTTTTGTTTCTTAAGGTTTTCTAGTCAGGGCCAGAGTAGTGTTTGGTCTAAAGCTAACTATTTTCCATTACTGATCAAGATCTTGTGAGCACTTTACTCAGTGCCCCACGAATTATGAGGTTTTCCAGTCTTACTGGTGGGAACAGGTACTCTTTTAGGTCCTTTACCTAGATAATGTCTCCTTTAATTCTTTCAGATAGTTATTTTGCTTGCCTTGAGTGGTTTTCTCAGATGAAGATACTGATCAGCACTCTGCTGAGCAGCCAGGCTGGGCCCTGTACTCCTATCCAGAGTTCTCGGTGAAGTTCTTTACTCTCTGAAACCCTATCCTGTCAACTCCAGCCATCTTGGTCTTCTGACTCTCAAGTCTCTTTCCTCCACTCAGGG